TCATGAACCGGGGACCAACGGCTTTACTTCCCATCCGAAGGAAGGCGTGATCAGAGATGTTATGCCTCAGAACATCCCGGCGGCGCCGACTGGGATTGAACCCAGGCCTGCTGGGGTGAGAGGTAATCACGCTTACCACTACACCACCGGCGCCGTTGTTCAATCAAATTGATTGCTCAAATTAATTTCATCAGAAGGGGGATCAAGAGACTGAAACCACTGGAAGCGGATCCCGTTCTGATAGAGGATGTTTATTGGATAGCGGAAGATCAAGTGTTGTACGTTTTGAATATAGTTCTAAGGTACAAGAACAAGAATCCTCGGCTCTGTAAAGTTAATTCGATTGAGCCTTATCAATAAATTAATGAACAAACAAAATCCTAAAGAGTTCTGTACAGAATCCCGAGACTGTTCTGGAGAAAATTTCTAGAGAATACCTAAACAGAGTAATTATGAAGCCTTTTTTAATGTTTCTGAAAAATCCTTGGCAAATATGCAAAGATATCCAGAGGTAAGTCTTCAAGAAACAATACTATTATTAATTCTTGGCGAAAATTCATGATGAATAAAATTAGACTAGAATAATATCATTGCTGAGATTCAGAGACCACGTCCAACTCCCCGTTGCCCGTTGCCCCGTGGGTCGAACGTTGGGTAGCGCTGCACTAATTAAAGCATCCAAAAAGTCAACCATCAAACATTGTACAATATGAACTTTGAATGAATTTTCCAAAATTAGTCATAGCATAGCGCTCGCAACGGCGGAGACTACGACGGCGGCGCACAGTGGTCCAAACGGCGAAAAACGTGATCGTGTGAGATTACGCAAAATCCTTTGACTTTAGGTATATAGTGTCTTCAGAGAAGTTTTAAGGCATAATTGACGCCATCTTTTGACGGTAGCCATTTTGTGATCAATCCCCCTAAAAGTTAGATCCAACACTCATTTTTTTATACAGTTGAGATAGAAGGTTTGTGTATTCAGCAAAGTTGTACATTATATAAATACAAACAACTTTGCTGAAGACATGAACCTTCTATCTTTTTGCTCAATTGATCTATAAGGCGTTTTTTGTGGACGTGCCTCTTAAATCATATTTTTTTACCATAACTTTTTCTATGTATTTTTTACAGGTTTGCAATGTTCTAAGGACTTCTTTGTATTGTTAAAATACATGTTTTTGTGGAACATTGTTTCTCGCTATTTCCTATATACTTGGAGATATTTGGGATTTTTCAATAAAATTGACCTATTTTTGAACTCAAATATTTCATAAGGTGGCAAATGGTGGCAGATCAAACAACTTACATTTGAAAGTACAACAAAAATGCTGCAAAATCATGCCGGAGTTGTCTACATCGAACTACATCCGGAAAAGTTACAGCTGTTTTAAGAAGGGATCAAAATCAAATGTCTCCTATTAAATATTTGATCTCATTCGAATGGCAACATTCAGCTATTCAATTTTCTTTTCCGTAAGGGTTGCCATGAATACGTAAGGATTGCCATGATCACAAACCACGTGTCGGCTACGTTTGTGGTGGTAAGAGAGCTGTCAGCAATCTCTTTTGTTTAGATTTTTATTGGTTTAGTTTCATGTGTATAAAAAGCATCTCACGCACACTTGTTCAATTATCTCCGATAGTACAATGCTCTTTGTAAAACCACGGCTTGAAGGTCACTTTGGAAGGAGCTTTCATCCGTAGTGCTCGGAAGTGTTTTTTGTGAAGTGCTCTTAGTTTTCTTAAATTCAGCCGAAATAACTTCTTAACTATCCGGTAAATATATTATAATGATTCTTCAGATATTTTCTTCTATTCTGGCGTTCAGCATGATTTGAATGCTTTCCAATAACATTAATATGGTAACACATTATTTACTTATATTATACTAAAATGTTCTATTAGTATCTGCAGGAGAAATGGATTATCGTCAGGTGTTTCTGCTTTGGAAAAATGCGGAAGGTGACAAAAAAACCAAATTGGGTTTTTTGGTTAAAGAAATAACACGATGTCTTGAAATAGATGCAGAACTTGTTGATGTTATGTCAGAGATTGAAAATTACTTGGATAACATTTGCAAATATTTCAGCCAGCTGTGGCAGAGGCATAACCGCACAATGGCTAGAGTTCTGGAAAATAACGTTGCTTATTTTGACAAACCATTTTGTTTTTCCTTAAAAACATTCCATCAACGTCCAATGTTACACACAAAATAATTAAAGCGTTTGTCGAAACTTCAGACTGTGTGAAAAGACGAAGAACAGCGGTGCTTCGCTCAGCTCATAATGCTGATGAGTTGACCTATGCTGCACAAATGTCATTGCGTTCAACTGGGCAAAATGATGCTGCTTCTATTGTCAAAGAAGCCACACAAACTTCCCCAACTCGTGCGACAAAAATTTTAAAATCCTGGAAATCATCGAAACTTCCGGAAATAGTTCCATTCTCTGACTCGGAAGCGTTAGCTTTGATTATTGAACAGGATTTGACAAAATCTCAATACATCAACATTCGAAAGGGTGCAAGATTGAGAAATGCGCAATTATATCCTTCGTACCATAAGGTTTTAGCAGAAAAACAGCAATGTTACCCTGATCAGGAATATATTCATGTTAGCGAAACTTTAATTGCAGTACAACTGCAACAGCTCTTGGATCACACTACTTTACGGATTTTGCAATCTTCTGCAGATATAGTGAAAGAGCTTTCCGCCGATGAGCTTTTAAAAGTGAAAATGATTGTGAAATGGGGGTTTGACGGAAGCAGCGATCACAGCCAATATAAACAACGGTTTACAACGGACGAAGATGCATCAGATTCGCACATGTTTTTAACGTCAATTGTCCCGATAAAGGCGGAAACTAACGGAAAAATTGTTTTTCAAAATCCCACCCCATCATCAACTCGGTTCTGTCGGCCATTAAGAATTCAGTTGATCAAAGAAACAACAGAAGTATCGGTAACCGAAAAACAAATTGTTGATCGTGAAATAGCAGATCTCGTTCCATTCAAAACGAGCATAAATGGGAAAACTGTGATTGTGGAATACAGCATGGTTTTAACAATGATTGACGGGAAAGTTTGTAATGCTATCACATCTACAGCATCCTCTCAAAGATGTTACGTTTGTGGTGCAACTCCGAAACAGTTGAACCAAATTGAAGATGTTCAAAAACGCGTTGCTGATGAAACAACGTTCCAATTCGGACTATCGACTCTTCACGCCTGGATTCGATTTATGGAATTTTTTCTACATGTTTCGTATAGGCTTGATATAGAAAAATGGCGAATTCAAGGAGTTGAAATTGAAAGGATGAAAGAACGGAAGAAGACAATACAGAATCGGTTCAAAAGGGAACTTGGATTAATAATCGACAAACCGCGTTCGACTGGGGCAGGAACGTCAAACGACGGTAACACAGCTTGTCGATTTTTCAGAGATGCAGAAAAGTCTGCAGAAATCTTAGGTAAATATATATCAGTTTATACTTTTCTTTATTCCAGCACGCATTTTTCATTATCTAGGTCTAGACTTACATGTGATTCAGCGATGTGGTACAATTTTGCAAGTTCTGGCTTCTGGTCGTACAGTAAATGTGGAAAAATTCGATATTTACTGTATAGAAACGGCACGAAAACTAGTTCACCTGTATCCTCCACAAAATCCTGTTACATGGTTCGAGAATCATCAACCAATTTATGGTGCCCATTGGTCAACTTTCCGAGGAGGCACAAGAATCGATGAATAAAGTCATCCGACAGACACGAGCGTTCCATTCAAGGAAAATTTCTCGGGTGGCAACGAATACCGATCTGCTGTATCGATTGCTAGAGTTGTCTGATCCATTCATTACAATGAATAGGATTAGTAAGTGCAAGCCAAATATGTTATTTTCTAATGATGCTCGATTCCTACTAGATATGAACGACTCAAGTACTGGGTCTGATTCTGACGATACTGATAGCGAATAAAACAACATAAAAAGCGGGTTTTATTTTTTATTTTAATTCAAAAGAGAGTGTCATTAACGCAACATATCAATACAAGAATGTTCATAAAGCTTTGGAAAATGATCTAACGAAGAATTAAGATCTTTATAAACATACCAGACAGATAGTCACAGTATCTCGATTGTCGCCTTTTGAATGAGATCAAATATTTAATAGGAGACATTTGATTTTGATCCCTTCTTAAAACAGCTGTAACTTTTCCGGATGTAGTTCGATGTAGACAACTCCGGCATGATTTTGCAGCATTTTTGTTGTACTTTCAAATGTAAGTTGTTTGATCTGCCACCATTTGCCACCTTATGAAATATTTGAGTTCAAAAATAGGCCAATTTTATTGAAAAATCCCAAATATCTCCAAGTATATAGGAAATAGCGAGAAACAATGTTCCACAAAAACATGTATTTTAACAATACAAAGAAGTCCTTAGAACATTGCAAACCTGTAAAAAATACATAGAAAAAGTTATGGTAAAAAAATATGATTTAAGAGGCACGTCCACAAAAAACGCCTTATAGATCAATTGAGCAAAAAGATAGAGGGTTTATGTCTTCAGCAAAGTTGTTTGTATTTATATAATGTACAACTTTGCTGAATACACAAACCTTCTATCTCAACTTAAAAAATAAATAAATGTTGGATCCCACTTTTAGGGGGATTGATCACAAAATGGCTACCGTCAAAAGATGGCGCCAATTATGCCTTAAAACTTCTCTGAAGACACTATATACCTAAAGTCAAAGGATTTTGCGTAATCTCACACGATCACGTTTTTCGTCGTTTGGACCACTGTGCGGCGGTGGCGTCAAAATGTCGCCAAACGTGCGACTAGCGACAGTTCCAATTTCAATCTGGCAGTGCATGCATGCGTGCGTGCGTTCGTTCGTTCGTCACGCACTGATAAAAGAAACAACAAGACCATCATGATAAAATATCCCACGCGAGGAATCTCCCCGCATGAACCTCATACATCCGGTGGTGCACTTACCTTCCAATCTGTTCTGCTATTTTATTCCTCTTGATGGGTCGCCGAATCTTGCCACAATCGGCATTTCTCCTCTTCATTATCCGCGGTGCTGCTGCTGCTGCTGCTTTCTCGCCGTGGTGGTTCCGTTTTCAAGCGTTGCTTCTTCCAACAACAAACAAAGACAACAACAACAACCCCGAAGGCAACTGCACTTCAGCGAGCCACCAGCAGTGTCCTTGTTCCTCTTTGCCTTCCTCAGGGGGGACGCACTTCTACAAACTCGCAACCAGAAAATTTAGCCCCTCTCGGAAAAATCAGAAGGAAAACTATTTTTCCTTGTTTTCGCCTTCCGATTTTCGCGTGTTAAATTTAGAACGACTCTTCTTGTTGAGGTTGAGGTTTTTTTTCTGTGTTATTTGCTCTTTTTAGCACCCACTCGTTTATATTTCCCTCTGCCGCACTCGGTCGGATCTTGGCTCTGCGAGTGACGACGACGACGACGACGAATCAAAGTGATGAAAATTGTTTCTTTTCCGTCGAGGAAAACACTCTCACAGTTAAAATAATATTCCTTCGCTGCCCTCGCGGAGTCTGGGGCATCCGTTCTCCGTTGGCAGGACTGTGTTAAAACCAATAGACCTTTTTCTTCTTTCCAACACTCGAAAAATTGCAGCAGCTTTAACGACGGGAAAAAGCAAAAATCGAACCTTTTCTGACACCTTCTTCGCAGCTTCCTGCTGCTGTCGTCGAACTTTAGGACGTTCGTGAAAAAAAAAATGTCCACCACTCTTATCCGAGTTTCCGTTTCTCCGGGCAAGTGACTGGATTTCCAACTCCCGTGCCGTGCACCCGGGTGCAATAGTCGCCAGATCCGATCGAGATTTTTCACACACACCAACTCTCTGGAAGGTACGGCCAAGTAAAACAATCACCACTCTTTTCGTTTTCCGCACCAAGCTCGTCGTCCGACGTTGATCGCTTGTCCAATATATTTTCCCATTCACATCGCTCGCCAACCACACACACTCTCCGCACTACTTTTCACTTCACTGCGCTCTGCTTCCGTCGTAGCAGCTCCGTCCGTCGAAAATCGCTTTTTTCCCTTCCTTTTCGCGATAGGACAGGAGTTTGATGGTTCTCGCGTTCGCTTTCGTCTTTTCTCTTTCGCTGCTGCTGGTGATGATGATGCTCGTGTTGCTTTTTTGTTTCTCTCCCGCGGCGAATCGCTTTTTCAGATGCGACCATCAGTGGTGGAAGCTGCGAATTCGATGTTTTTTGACCGTGTTGCGTCAAAAACTGACAACAAAGGCGAAATGTTTTGAAAGATGAACGATCATCAGATGCAATGTCGTTTATATAAGGTCCGGGTCAACAGGCTTATTGGTGTTAGTGAAATGTTTAGTTGGGTTCGTATTTCATTGCAATGTTTACCCTAATAAAAATAACCATAAAAGAGACCTTGACGACGTGTCCGGGGTATCATCCAAACCATTTGTGGGATAGTTTGCCCATCCGGGATACAGTTCGTTTATGGTATTTATTTATTAGGGTACCTTTTAAAACGAAATGTTTACAATATTTTTTTTTTGGTTTTGTCTTTTGAGACAGGCTTAGACCATAACGTTTACAATATTTTTGCTTCTAACACCTGTTTCTGTTGGCTTCACACTTAAATTATTTCGCCGAGATTCCAACAGCCGAGTAATTCTGAAATTTATTTTGCTGAGATTCAGTCAAACAATTGCCGAGACTCAGCGAACAAATAAAATTTTGCTGGGATATCAGCTAACAAACAGATATTTTGCAGTGATATCAGCAAAAGTGAATGCCGAAGTAAAGCCAACAATCAATACGAAACTAACTATTTTAAATTGGCTCACCACTTGACTAGCCTATTGGTCCCAAGCAAACGATTTAAAGTACCCCATTCTAGTCGAAATTCTAGTACTACGCAATGTTTGTTTTGATTCGCTATGAAAGTTTGACAGATAAAATGAGGGTTTTTTCCTATGTTTCGAGGGGTGAATCGATTAGCTTGGGACCGAAGAGAGTACCAGAGCTGAGCCAAAAAGTTGAGCACGTTATTTCGGGACCTTCTAGTCTTAGAGTTACCTCTATGGTAAAGCCTAGTATACAGATCGAAGCGAAACGAAAATTGAAGCACACGAAAAATCATAAAATTTCGCTAGCGAAAAAGGTTGTGAAAAAATGTTTGTGGAACATTTTCCAGTTTCCTTTTTTCGCAGTTTACAGTTCATGTGAAACGAAATCGGTCAGTTTACACCTCCGGTGAAGTGAAAATCTGACAGATACGCTCTTTCTCGAAACGTCAACTTTTCGCTTACCTGCTGCTCTTTTCGCTAGCGCTGCATGCGCGAAAAAAAAAATGAACGTAAGCGAAAAAGATACGATCCACAAAATAAGATTTCGCTAGATCGTATCTGTTTACAGTTCAAAGCGAAGCGAAATATTTGCCAATTGCGTTTTTCACGCAGGTGAAAAATGTTGTATTTTGTATGAGATTTTCGCTTCCTTTCGATCTCTATACAGACCTTAATCGGCTGTTGGAGATTTTACCGAGCTAGATTAAGTGTGTTGGACCCAGGCTTAACTGTTTAAATTTGATGATTACACCAAAACACGCTCACAGTGAAGCGTCGTATGTGAAAAAAAAACAAAGCAACCACTATCAATCAGCAGATGCGTCAAGTTATTTCTAAGTAGATACAAAATGGGTTTCAACGGGATTCAGCTACTGCTGGGTATGTTTTATTAAATATTCTTATGTTTTAATAAATATTATAAATTTTTTTAGATATAGCCACCCAGCTTGATGAGTCAGAACAGTTTTCATCTGCACATATTCCCAGCGTGGGATATTTCGAAGAAGAGGAAACAGTTCCGCAAGAAGGATTGCCTCCAAGCCTAGATCTAAACGTTCACGATGATGCTTCTCCTCGTCAGAATAATGACAACGCTTTACGACAATCGGTTGATGATATCCGAGCCGCTTTACAAACTGCTGGTGAGTGCTTTTAAAAGCTGTATTCAAATTCACGCAAAATTCCTGATTGCTTTACCTTCCCGACCAACCATTTCGTTAATTTTCTTTAATTTTCTATACATCGATCTTCAAAGCCATTCATAAGAAAAATCGATAGCGATCGTCACCATTTCATGAATAATTGTAAAGATGCTAAAAGTCTAATCGTGAATCGTTTATAAAGATCTTTCTCAAAATATTGCTACCAATCGTTACCAATGTTAAAATATCGATTGTGTTGCCAGATAAAAATATCGATTTCTGTTGTAAAATCAAAATATCGATACACAACTGCTGATTTTATTTGCGATTTTTTATCTGCATGATTTCTAGTTTCGATCCCATGCCATCTGGGGTGTACTGATTTCGTTGTTGGTTGCTAATCCTCGGATACACGGCTGCTGTTGATGAGCTTATCAACGACAGGCAAACACACTCTAGTATGTGGTGTATTGAAATTTCTGTAAATCTTTTCATACATGAATTCAATATTTATTTGTCATAACCATCAACCAGTCAGCCATGTAGGTGTAATAGAGGTAAAAAAGGTGTAAATTTTCCTCATTGGGTTCCAAATGCCGAGAATCCCACCACGCATGCTATCACGGGTTATTACATATATAGACGTAAACTTGAAGAACGACAATAGTAAACATTTGCTGCATCGCGGCCATCGGTCTTCTCGTTCATTTACCGGCAGATTGCTTCTTTCGATGATATGCCGAATATGTCGATAAATAATATAAACATTGCCACCTGTCACCTGGTGTGTCTCGAACTCTCTTTAACCAGCGTTGCAAATCGACAACAAGGAGATTATAAATGTGTATCGATGGCAATCTTTGTTGTTCTTTGTCAAAGTTCAAAGTTACGATGATATCAGTATTTAAATATTTATTGATGAATATTTGTAAAGAATACTAAAGTCCATGTGACATATCGAAATTAAAAGAAATTTAGTATGGCACCTTTATAGATTACTATCATATGGCCGATGAAGAAATAATCTTAAATGTAAGTATCGATCAATAAAGATTTTTAAATGTGTACATCGAAATCATAGAAAATTTAAAGTAAAGAATTGCTGACATAAATCTTTATTTCTGTATAAAGAACTTTGAAGAAGTTTCACGAATGGTTGGTCGGGTAGTGTTTCTAACGTATTTTAATTTGAATGCTTACACCGAGGGGGACGACTCTATCTACGATGCACAAAAGATTGTGTTTTGCTGTGGCTAGCTGCGCGCACGCTGAGTAGATAGAAAGAAGATTGATGACGATTCTGAAGATTTCCTGCAAAAAGATGATGCGCGATGCAAGTAGATGCGACAAATGAAAGAAGATTTTTCGAAGATTGTTTCGCTAGTGGGAGATTTGTTGAGCATCTTAACCACAAACGAAGTGACAGACGACTTACTGGCGAAGAAATCCATTTAAATAATGTGGTTCACTGTGATAGAATTTTCTTGGAAGCTTGTGCCATCATCCACCAGATGGGTTAGTTTTTTTGTTTTCATTTGAACAAAGTTGATTTTGTGTACAATGATTCTTTGACAGTGTGCAAAGAGTGCGTATCATTTTGTCATTTTTTTATGCATTTCAGTTTTGAGTAGAGTGAAAGAGATAGAACCAAAACATTCTAGTACATTTGGTGAAAATGCTAGTTCAATCCAGTAGTAGTGTTGCCATGTGGTTCAATCCAGTAGTAGTGGTGTTGCCGTGTGGTACACTGAAAAATTGCAATAGCAGGTTAGTCACCAAAGTTTTCGAGCCGCTCCGTCTGTCACTTCGTTTGTGATCTTAACATGAGATTTAGATGTGTCACCCCCCTCGGCTTACACATAATTTTTCGAAAAATTAAAAATCTCTGTGGTAATGATCAGTAATGAGAATTTGTAAAATTTGCTGTTAAGATAATTCGATTTACTACAGCCGCTAATTGGTTTTCTCGCTATAGAAGTAATTTGAAGTTGAAGCAGAAGTTCTCTGTTGTCAAGTGAAAAGGAAGGGAATCTTTCATAAACCATCATACTATTGGTCAGAGGTTTTCATCAAAATTGAAAGGCCGAGTTTAGTTCACGAACAATAAAAAGAAACTTTATTTAAGAAACGATGTTAACACTTCGAATGTTCGCCCACGAATGAAAATGGCACCTACAGTACCTTTTTGTTTTTCTCTTCTCACAGTGTTGCCACCAACCAAGATGAATGAGTAAGGTGGCACGGCAGTTGTACTCATAACACTCCTCCTCAACGTATAGTGCCACCATTCGATGACAGTCCCAGCATTCCTGAGAACTTCCGTTGTTTCGTAGTTCCCAGGGGCTTAGTAAGCACGTCAGCCACCATGTGCTCAGTTGGACAGTACTCTAACTTCAAGAGACCCTGCCCACACAGCTGCTTGACAAAATGCTCTCTTGTCTCAATGTGTTTTGACCGACGAGTGATCCTTTCGGAATTCACGAAACTTATACAGCTCTGATTGTCTTCCATCATCGTCACCGGACCATCATCTGGCTCGCCCATCTCTTTCACCAATCCACGAAGCCAAACAAGTTCTTGCGTAGCTTCGCTCAGAGCCACATACTCTGACTCCATAGACGACAAGGTAACACAGGCCTGTTTACGACTGGTCCATGAAACAGCCCCGTTAGCATACCAGAAAGCGTATCCGGTTGTTGACTTCCTCGTACTAGCGTCGCCAGCCCAATCAGCGTCAGTATAGCCGATCAGACCACCACCAGATCCGTTATACACCAATCTCCAATGTTTAGTCGCTTTCAAATAGCGAACCACTCGCTTCGCTGCTACCCAGCATGCCTCCGTAGGAGCACTCACTTTACGGCCAAGTATCGCCGTACTAACAGCAATATCCGGCCTAGCACACACAGCAATATACAGAAGGCCGCCAACCAAACTTCTGAACTTCGTTTCGTCAGCGAAAGAGGCACTCGTATCTTCCACTTTTAAAAACCCTTCGTCCATTGGCGTCTTAGCAACCTTTGCATCACTCAATCCAAACTTGTCAATAAGTTTATCGATGTAGCCTTCGAGGCTCACACTATAGTCACCCTTCTCTCGCTTAACCTCCAGTCCCAGGAAGTAGCTCAAGTCTCCGAGATCGGTGATCTCAAAATGTCTCTTCAACGATTGGTACACT